GTAGATCACCCAGTTTTTCTCTCACAGAACTGCTGGGTAGATTTGAACTGCCAACCTTTAGGTTAGGAGTGGAGCACTTAACGGTGCTACCAGGGCTTCTTTACTAGTACTGGTTGTTGTTGTTGCTGTTGTTGTTTGATGCCCTCAAGTCATCTCCAACTCGTAGTGACCCTATGCACGGTAGAACCAAACACTGCCCGGTCCTGTGCCAACTCCATGATCCTGGCTTTATTTGAGCCCATCACTGCAGCCACTCCATCAATCCATCTCATTGAGGGCCTTCCCCGCTTTCCTCTACTCTCCACCTTATGAAGCATGATATCCTTCTCCAGGGAATGGTCCCTTCTGACAATATGACCAAAGTAGATGAGATGAAGTCTGGCCATTCTCACCTCCAAGGAGCATTCCAGCTGCATTTCCTCCAGGACAGATCTGTTAGTTCTTTTAGCAGTCCATAGTACTTTCAGCATTCTTCTCCAGCACCACATCTCAAAAGCATCTATTCTTCTTCAGTCTTCTTTATTCATTATGCAGCTCTCACATGCATATGAGGCAACTGAAAATATCATGGCTTGTGTCAGGCACACCTTAGTCCTCAAGGAGACATCCTTGTTCCTCAGCACTTGAAAAAGGTCCTTTGCAGCCAACTTGCCCAGTGCTATATGCCATCTGATGTCCTGACTGCTGCTTCTGTTGGTGTCAATTGTAGAATTAAGCAATGTGAAGTCTTTGACAACTTCAATCTTTTCTCCATTTATCATGATGCTGCTTATAGGTCCAGTTGTGAGAATTTCTGTTTTCTTTATATTGAGATGTAATCCATACTGCAGACTGAATTCTTCAATCTTCATCAGTCAGTACTTCAAGTCATCTCCACTTTCAGCAAGGAAAGTTGTGTCGTCAGCGTATCGCAGGTTGTTAATGAGCCTTCCTCCAATCCTGATGCCATGTTCTTCTTCATATAGTCCAGCTTCTTGAATTATTTGCTCAGCATATAGATTGAATAAGTATGGTGAAAGGAAACAATCCTGACACACTCCCTTCTTGATTTTAAACCATGTACTGTCCTCTCATTCTGTTTGACCGAGAGCCTCATGGTCTATGTACAGGTTCCTCATGAGTACAATTAAGTGTTCTGGAATTCCCATTCTTCGCAATTTTATCCACAGTTTGTTAGGATCCACACAATCAAATGCTTTTGCATAGTCAGTAAAACACAAGTAAACATCTAGTACTGGTACCGATATGAAATGACAGGTCAGCCCAATGCAAGCAAAATGCAACCACTGGCATGGAGTCAGATCCAACAGCCTAACCTGAGCAAAAAAAAAAAAAAAAAAAGAACCTGTCCTGAACTCTCACAATCTGCTTTTGAATTGTTGTCACCATATAGATGTGATCAAGTCATGTGCTTGTGGCTAAGGCACAGTGCCTAAGGCATCTGACTGCTAACCAGACGGTTGATTGTTCTAACCCATCAGCCACTCCATGGAAGGATGATGGGGTAATGTGCTTCCCTAAAGATTTACTGCCTCGCAAACCAAATGGGGGTCGCTATGAGTCGGAATTGACTAAATGGCAGTGGGTTTGCTTTGGGTTTGGGTGGGGTCAGTTAGAGTTAGGTTTGCATCCTGGGTCTACTATGCAATAACTGTGCTTTATTTGAATAAGTAAATTTAACCTTTAAATGTAAGGGTTATTGTGAGGACTAAATGAGATAACGTCTGTAAAGCAATTATTATCACAGTATACATCATATAGAAAATGTTTATATTATTTTATTATTATTCTATCAAAACTAAGTAAACACTTTGAACATTTTTATTCCATTAAACTAATGATATCCAAGTAAAATAATTATTGCTTTCTTTGGTAATTCATTGTTGACTAGCAATCATATTCATGGTCAAATAGTCATATTATAGATTCAATACCAGAATGGACATGAAGAGTCTTAAAAGCAAGAAAATAGGTAATCACCCCTACATCTTTGCCACTAGCAAGTGGTAATTTTTTTTTTTTTT